GTCGTTCATCCTGTATCGACGGTATGGTTGACCATTTCTGCGGTGTTTACGTTTGTCACATTGAAATTGTTACGTTGATGTCGTCCTTGTGCAGTAAACTGTAATATCGTCTTCGACCTTGCAAACACCTTCTGCTTATTTGTAATTGAATCCAGTTTTCCATCCAAGCGAGTCTGTCTGTTACTCGATTCACTAGAGGTAGAAGACTGTTCACGTGTTTTATTTTCAGGCATTGGACACTCAGAGCTTCCTTTTCTTTGGAAGATTGGTGAATCTTTGGCTTTGTACGAAGTGGTAGTTTTGATCGTGGCTGAGTAGTGCCTGAGAAGACGGATGAACGGATTATACTCACAAAAACTGATCTTGAATGACTATATGTTAGCACATGCCAAGGTATATTCTTCGTTGACGAAGTTTAGTTACCCAGGTTTGAGTGTGCAATGATGCGATGGACGAATATATTCTTCACATTTGCAATGAGTTGCCTTCTCGGGAAAACGAGCAGTGCAGTTTCTAATCTCTCATTTTCTGCTCAAGCATCTCTTGATTCTCCATTAACCTGCCGGAATTCTTCCGTCGCTTTCGTATGAAACGATTAGGGTGTATTTGGGTAGCTTCTGACAAATGACCCAGGTACGTTCTTTTTCTCATCATCTCGGAAAACACTTTGAAATGCGCTAGCATAGTAATTAAAGGTCAAATCTTTCTAGTATATTGAGTCCATATATGTTGTTAAGTAGTATTTCTCACGTTCAAATTCACCACTTCGTGCAAAGCAAAAATTCTCCAATCCGCTGAACAAAAGGTGACGTCTGACTGCTCATTGGCCGAAAGAAAGCATTTGAGCAGTTTTTCATCAATAGTGCATAGAATAACAGAGACTTTCTTGGATGGAAAATCGGGTTCTATTACGTTGAGGTTTTACTTGTCAATGCAGTTTCTATTGAAATTTCTATTTGAGAATGCGGAATCCGCTAATTCGTCATCTGGCCTCGTTGTTATTCCATCTTCGGCCAACGAAAGCGATTACCAGGTTTGCTGGTCTTGCTCTGACCACTATAGTCACGTATGAAAATCTGTGGACTTCTTTAAGAATAAATATTTGAGTTGTATACGGTCTTTCAACAACAGGAAACAACCGGAGTGGCGGAACTAAGTGGGGCAGTCGTTCGTTGTTCCAGTTGTTCAAATGTCTGCATAAGTGCAGTAGATACGGCAGCAATCAAGGTTGGAGTTGTTCCACATCCAGTTTGTCTTTGCATAATATGGGTCCTTTTAGAACCACTGCGCTTTGCATGCAGCAATGGAAGGTCGCATGCTGTGTTCGCTTTATATTCATAGAGCAACTGATAGACCACTAATTTGCCCGTTTTGTCACTGTGAGGTGAATGTGTATAAACCGATGAAATTTCTGCACCATCTTCAAGGTGAGCCTTTTTTCATCCTCATTATGGTGTTTTTGTTCTTCAATTTGAATATTTTGCTTACCATTGCAGCAAAGCATATGGACAAAGCTCGTATTATATATGATCGTTACCTCTTCCACTATTTTCCGCAACAAAAGGTCTTCCATTTTCAGTTTCTTTTGTTGAATTTTATGTCTCATGCCAGCTTTTACTTCAGATATTTGGTGACCACTGTTCAACACCATCTAAGGCAAAAGACGGTTCAGTGTGCAATAGTGACTTCCTCGTTTGCTGCCAGCGGTCAAGCAGTTGTGGCGTTAACCCGGAATGTGTTTACTACATTCTTTGCTGATATCACCCGTTTGATAGTTTTTATTACTAATTTTATTCTACAGGTCGTTGTATTACCGCACGACAAAACCATTGCTTCATCAGATGTTGATATTGCAATTGTGAAACATATTTTATGGCACGTTCGCAACGATTCATTCTTGGTATGGCCCTATTGGAACATTTCTGCTCTCTGTTTTGCTTTTTGTGATCTCACGAAGGTGTTTTGTTTTATCACCTACCTTTTGAGGAGTTGGAGCTACGAGAACGAGAATTGCTAACTCGAGCTTTGATGATCCGTTTAACATCATCACATACACGACAAGTGTCAATGATGGCAAAAAAGATCGCAAAACAGTTCAATAGGTTGAACTTGCGTTTCCGTCTTCCTTGAGGCCTAATTTTGTGCAGCCTTCTTTAATTTTCCGTAGTTTTTATTTCTCTAAACTAATTCAAGCCCTTCAGGGAAAAAGAGCAAGTTGTCGTAAGATACTTGAAGGAAAAAATGGACGAGATTGGTTGGATTCTCTTTGGCACAAATAAAGGATTTGTTTACCAGGCGAGGCTATTCATCGTATTCCGAGCACGATGAAATTGGTCCTTGTATACTATTTTCTCATTGTTTAGATGGTGTTTACTCGTCGTTTCGTGCGGGATCAATGTGGTATGCAGATATATCCACCGTGTGTGTGCCGCATTTGTGTAGACCAGGAATTGCCACACTTTTCGGTCGGTATTCGTGTTTTCTCATGTTGACCATTGAGCTTGAATTGTGTTGCATTTTATTTTGGAATAGGCAAAAATGTTTTTAGAATGATCGTATTAAACGAGCGTTTGTCGCAGACGCTCTTCCTGTTGTTCTCCACATTTTGGAACACCTCGGTGCTGGTGAACTGTCAGAAAAAGTCCGTTGCGTATTATTATTGTTAGCTTTTCCATATTAGTTTATTTCTATTCAGAGTTCTATAGTACATCCTTGAGTACTTCAAAATCCCGACATTTAAACTTTTTCACACACTTTAACATATTTTTCGTTTTTGTTGTAGAGGACGTTTTTCTTTTTCTGTATCACGTAAGATGGCAGTGTTGCTGCCTCTCCTATTTATAACTACAGCTGGCCGTTACCCTTTATGTTTCAAAGCAATTTCTACCCTATTAAGACCATTTTTTTTTTTCAGAAAGACGGCATGTCTTTTTGTAAGCTTCCTTTGAGTTGAGCTACAGGTGGAAATATAGAGCGTTTTCTCACTTTGGATTATATCGCGATTTGACGCAGCGTAATAACACCATCGCGACAACGAGGCTGCAACCTATTGGGAGCCGCTGTGCAACTCTGATACCTTCCTACGTCTAGAATACACACATCCGTCTTCTCGTAGTAAAGCGATTTGTCAGATTAGCTGAAACTCTAGGTTATAAACCATAGATCGTCTTTTCATTGTATGCTTTATTGGAAGTACTTCCCAACATTTAGTTTGCTTATTGAGGCTTAATTGAAAATATGTTTTTAAACTACGTAATCCCTCTAATATGTCTATCAACTATCCTCATGCGGGTGATCAAGTGACTTGAGAGCGCGCTGAAGAACTCATTCATCGCTTTCACTTGCTGCGATTGTCCAGTGTTTGCTACTAGCTCAGTGACACTAAGAGCACTACATTTCTGTTTTAGGCCTTTAATATTGAAATGTAGCCACAAAATCTCAGGGGAAACCATGAGCAATGTTCTCAGTTTGCATTTATAGATCAAATCAGCAGCGGATTCTATGCGGTGGAAGAATGCTTGCAAAATAGATGGGTTACTCTTCAAAAGTCCTTCGCCGGCAATTAAACACGTTCTGGACGCGCATATTGACCTTGTTGAGCTAAGGTTATTCGCTAACTACTTAACTGACCTATTTCATTTTTTGTACAACGAATCTATTCTTGCTTGCAGTGCTTTGGATATGGTCTTAGAAGACAATGGGCTACTCGAAATTTTTCGCGATGCGTTGTCAGTAGTCTTCACTGACCAAGCATGGCAATTAGAGGTATGCATACATTTTATATTTATCCTTTTTCATGTTTTTCTAGTACGAACTTCCTATTTTTTAACAATGCCACACTTTGAATTTGGTTTGCCCGTCTTCAGGAAGCACTTGGGTTTAAAGGTTACGAGATGAAACCGTGTCCTAAGGCGAATTTTTTGAACGATGAGTCAAATGGTATGTGTAGATTTATGTTATGCTCGTTAATAACTTAAAATGGCAATGTAGGTGTTAACCACCAACCCGAATCTCTCCATCCTTGTGATCCACCCGCGTCTTGTGCTTGTGCTGACAGTGTTTCATCACAAAGCGAAGCATTAGGAGCCTCAGCCGACTCACCTTCTCAGTATTTGAGGTCAAGAATTAAGGCGTGAGTAGGGAGTGTTTTTTTCATATAGTTGAAAAGCAGTTTCTTTTCGTCACTGGTTGGCTAACGATATGGGTGCGATTTTGTGCCTTATTCTTCAGTGTGTGCCACGGGATGCCAGAAGCTTCTGCTGTTTGTTACGAGGAGTTTTTACATGAATCTGAAGTGCATAACGATGCGGAAGATTCTTCTTGTATTGGGACTGCTGAGGACAGTTCTATCGTAGATGCGATGACTTCGAAGTCATCGCTTATTTTGCCATCGAGTACCATCTGCATAAACTCGACTGGTTCGTTTTTACCATATCTCGGATTTTAAAGTCATCTTTCTTTTTCAATAATCATACGAGAAAGCTGTTTCCTAGATACAAACAACTTCTATTTCTATACTATCTTCTAGATAATTTTTTCACACATTTTCTTTTTTTTTGAAATAGTTAAAATTTTTCATCCAGTTTTAGTCCCTCCTACTGTGCCCTTAGTTTCGATTAAAGTGGAAGAGTCTGAAGAACGAGATGATTTGAATAACCTGTCTGTTGAAATGCAGAACAGTTCTACTTCACCAACAAACTTCTTGTCTACTAGCGATCCTCTATTGCGCAGGAGAAAAGCGGAGCAAAGGGTAGGTTTGGCTGCAATACACGAAAAATTAGAAGAAAAGTTGGTTCTTTGTTAAATCTGTTCCACTGCCATTCTCTTTTTAAGCGGAAGAAAAATATATCTCGTCGAATAGGCCAGAAGCGGTCGGTGGAAGTGAAACTTGAAGCCGAGGAATCTGTTCCAACTGGGAGTAGTACCGCTCTACCACTTAAGGTGATGTCAGAATGTTCTACTTGAAAACATAAGCGCTATATTTTCAAAAAAAAATGCATTTAGAATGTCATCGAAGGATCAAAGACGGCCGCAGCAGCACTTGCAGCCAGTTTGAGGACTGGAAGCGCCAGCACTGATTCTTCTGGCCAACTTCGAAATCCGATCGGTCGAACACAAGACAACTCTATGTCAGATTCAAGGTGACTAGAACAAAGTCATTTTTACCACACCGAAGGAACCATTCAGTTGGTGCTGCCTTGTTTGTCCATCTTTTCTCGTCATATATTCATTTCACTACCTTCACTCGGTCCAGTGTTACAATAGCAAAACAAACCATTCATTTTGTTTCGATTCATTTCTTGCTTATTTTCGTTTTTGACTTTTCACTTAGATTTTTGACAGAGTCACACTTATGAAATGAGATAAGGTAGGTTTCTCGATAATGAATAACAGGTTTTGTTAAATTGAAAGTTATGTTATGACGTTTGTTGGATGTCTTACGATTTAGTGATGCAGAGGAATCGGATCTAGTGTTGGGCAACATTTCTAAGAGACCTCGTCTGCTGGTAGGTGAAGATGTTGGAAGAGATATTAGTGGCGTCTTTTCAAGCGCTTTTTGAAAAGTGTTATATTCAGGTTCCATCGAGCCATAGCAAATCAGTGTCGTCCGAAACCCCAGAGAGGAAATGATGGCGCTAAGAAATCCCCTCATTCCCGCTGACCAAACAGTTTTTGTTATTACTTTACACTCATTTTGTATTGATTGTTTAATCGTGAAATCGTGTCGAAATTGCTTTTTGGTTTTCCATTTACTACATTCATTCCGTGTTGTTGACGTCATTACTTCCAGGGTATACATCTTTCTTTTATGTGTATCTCATTGTACTGTTCCAATTTATCTTACATCTCCTTACATGTTCATGCTCTAAACAATACATTTCTGCAAAGGAAAAGTCATTTTTGTTTGCGTCATTACATTTATGCTTGGTTCCAGATATGTCGTTCTCATCCGTAAATTTGTTTGAGTAAATGAGAGCACTGAATCACACATGAGAGATCCTAAAGGGCAAGGTTTAGTTTCACATGATGGTATTGCAGGCTTCGCTATCCAAATTGTCTGCATAGGAGTCGCTAGTAATTGGTGAACTTGATATAGCTTACCTTCATCATTTCTTTGGAGGAGAATTTGTCAGCAATCGCTTGGCAATTGTAGACCGTCACTGCACGGCAACGGAGCTGTAAATAGTGATGGAATTAGTGTACTGTATAGAGAGTTCATCATCCGATTTCCATTAGTGCTTTTTACTGAAGAAATTAATGTTCAGGAATTTGGAAAGTATTTACTCCACTGTCAAAATTAACTGGTATAAATAGCACAGATATCGAAGGAAATGCTCTTAGCTTATCCGTTGTTCTGTCTTGGTGCGGTAAATACTGTGGCGAAGACGCTGCCCAACAATATGCTCAAGGTTATGGTTCGACCTGCCCTTTAGCCAACCAGGTTCCCTATCATGTCTTGGTGCCATAAGTACGTAAGTAGAGAAGCCGCCCAAAAATATGCTCAGGCTAGTTCGACCGGTCCTCCAAACAGTCAAGTTTCAGGAAATTGCTAGCAGACTCGTCTAGAAGCTGTTCACGTGATCCATGAAGGTTACCTTTTAGATTTGCCTAAGAACGCCTTAACACGCCCATTCTAGGATTCGAAAGAGAACCTACTCGAGTAGGCTTCAACTACTGTCATCAAGAGAACGAAAATTCTCAAGCTGCAGCCAATTCTACATGCAAATCCGAAGACATTCATTGAGTGTGGATGAAGGAAAAAGCATTTAATGAGAGAAGTGTTAGCGTCTGCATAATATGCGGTATCGGGTTATGTATAAAATAAAGGAAACTAAAGTAAAACAGAAAGGCCTTTCGCTTTAACGTAATTCCAACATGAAACATCCTCAATTATGATGTGCTGTAATTGCAAGCCTCAATCGAAATGTACGTCTTATTTTTTTCATATTAGTAATTATGAAGTATGATCACAATGATGAGATATTTGCGAGACTCCGGACCCTAGACACCAGTGGTGTGGATCGAAAACGCTATTACCTTTTCCGAGGGCTAACGCGTTCACATAATGCCCTGCAGTAAAAAATTGTAGTAGGCAATAAAAAAAAATATTGTAGTTTCGACTACATCCTCAGCTTAACTGGGTTCAATGCCGATTTGTGCATCCCAAATAAATCTCGTTAACAGGTGATTGCTGATGGCACTGGCAGGCCAAAAACAAGCTGAGAGAAAGGCGAAACGAGGGATCCGCATGATGTGGTGGTGAACGCGTTTACGCCCGGAAAGGGTAATGGTGTGTTCGATCCCTACCGCAGTCACCTGCTGCCCAGAGTTTTTCAAATGTCTCAGCATCATTGAGATTACATTTCACATAATACCCCGCCGTCAAAAACTGTATTAGGCACTAAATAAAAGTTAACACTAGTAATTATAATTTATTAGTGGTACATACTCCTTCATGAGTGCAGGTACAGCTGGTACATGGTGCTATCTGGCTGCTTTCACCAACTGTCAAGGTTTCGCTGTCGGAGATATGACACAGATCTGGAAGTAAAAACACACTTGAAGAATTGGGACTAGCTGACACAGACGACCAAATATGTTCTTCCGTTATCATCACTATTCTAGGGCTTTTATGTTAGGGCAACCGCTATCCTAGTCATTTCTGTTTGACTTGTTTTTTATTATCGGTTACACACCTTTCTCAGACCACTTGGAGAAGTCAATTTGTGGGAAATCATGACAGTGAACTGGAGTATTTCTGGAATTATAATTTACATTGGAAAATGTCCATCAACTTATTATAAGGAAGAGACGTATAAGAGCAAAAGTTGGTTTATAGGGATGTCAGTTTAAGAACTACATATGTTTTCCGTTTTAAAGATGTTTTATCCAACAACTCCTGAATGGTTTACCTCATCGTCTTTGTGAAAGGTTGTTCCTGGGCATTAAACTACGATGTACAGCAGTACTTCACTCACGGTAGAAGGAATCAAGATGAACTGACATTTCTGTTTGGTAGCACAGCCAGCGGAAAACATACGAGCCGCCGAGCGCAGACATTTTCGAACAAACATTGCTCTTTGACTGAAGGATGCTACTGGAAAGGCACCTGACGTAAAGGCCAAAACTGCAAACTTCTTCATTTCAACTGTTGGCGGTAAATTCGTAGAAAATGCTGCACGCAGTCGTACCAGTAAGCAAGACATTATCAACAACTAGCGTCCTTATCATGCTCAGTTCCTATTACTGAACGATGTTACACGTTTAGAGTGAATAATGGCAAGAAAAAAATTAAAAATACGTAGAAAGCCAAATAGATAGTTTCAATCACTGATAAGCCCTCCTATTTGTCAGGAAAATGACTTATGATCACGACTAACCTAGTCGGATACCGTAATGCCGCCACTGGACTCTATCGCGCAAAATGATGCTCTGCGGACTCCGCATGCTCAAGAGACACTGGGGGAATCGCACTTTTGGAATCGCTTTACATCTTTTTGAAACAATTTTTGACGAGATCGTAGCCCTCGATAGCTCGATAAGCTCTACAATGGCATAGATGTGCAATGAACTGAGTTTCCGGATGATAGTGTCGAAATAATGTTACGGCGCGTGTGGGGCAGTGGTCGGAGGCGCCCTGCAGCACACATGGGATCGATCCCGTGCCACATGCCCACTAGACCCTCTTTGCCTCCAGAGTCGGCAAATTGGCACCAGATTTGTCTAGGAAGATAGCAACACCGACTAGAGACGTTGGTAGGCCACCGCGAGTCATTATGAAGGCCAATTATGCATTCAGTCACCTCCAACAATGCTCAATGAAATCGAATGCTTGACGCATCCTCAGTCATTGGTTAACGCCGAAAGCTTTATCGTTTATCCTTTTAATGTCAAACCTCCTCTCTGCCTAGATAATGGTGACGAGGCAATGCTGCTAATGTATATCACGCCTAAGCACCCAAGAAAATCCCAGCCACATTGGAGTGGTGTTTGTTTGAAAGAATCTGGTGTCAAGTAAAAAATTCAAATTCTCAATTTGCGTTTCTTTTTTCGTTAAGATAAAAAGACTTCTAGCATACGAGTGCCTATGGGGCAAAGAGAATGCGTGTGGTTGTACTTTCCGTATCCATTCATGATTTGCACATATCATTGATGATAAGGTGACGCGTCGAAGTTGCTGCATTTGATCTGTATGGTAAATTTTCGTGTTGGTTACTGATTCTTCGATGGTAATTTTACTGTGGAGATCACCTGGTGAAAATCGCTGTGGTCCATCGTTCTCGTAGTAAAAACGGTCGCACTTTTTGATTCTCGAGAATTGCTCCGCTATGATACAAGCCGCTGTCGGACCTACCACTGCTCCTGTAATTCTACCTTTATACCTTGTTGCCTTAAAGTGTTTCATTTTTTAGCTCCTTTGAGACTATTTCCTTGATTTTTTTCATTTATAATCTTGTTTCCACCTCGAGTCATGTTTTCCTTCTTCGTTGCATTTTACTAACCTACCTGCTATCGGCTTTTCGGATATAATACCAGTGAATAAGTCAATGTCATCTACGGACTCATATACGGAACTAAGAGCTTCGATGGTTGAAGAAGACATTTCATTCGATAAATCGATGAACGAGAACGCTTGGCCCAGACCGCATAGCTCCCTGTAATTACGTGTTCCATGAGATAAAATTATATAGAGGCCGAAAAATATACGGTTTTGTGCGGTTGTGGAAGACCTCTATTCCTTGGAATTCGGCGCTTGGAATGGACTGAAGCGCTTATTGAAAATATATACATCGGCCTTTTTTGTTTCTGTTTGCTAACTGACAGAAAGCATCTAACGAGTGAAAGCTAAGTAGCTGAATTGTTCCAAAGGCCAGCTTGCAACCAACTTCGGTAGCAGCAAGATATGTGTTCTGTTGTGTTGTGTTGTGTTCTTTTGAAATGTTTCCAATATTTTTTAAAATTTTTCTTTATTTCGTTTCATTCTATACGACCCATCTTCACGTCTACCGTTCGAATCTCAGCGCTTCTCACACTCGATACGTTTCCTCGCATTCATTACACAGGAAAGTCTTCTAACTTTTGCATGCCGCTTCGGCGGCTGATTGAGGATTTCCACTTCACCTTGAATGTCGTAGAATGTTGGTTGGGTCGATTTTTTCTAGAGTCCTTATAGATTCGAGCTAGAGCATTTCCAGTTGGACTGCAAAAAATTGACTTTTTCACCAAACAAGTCCGATACCAATTTCCCGACCTCGGAGGGAAAAGAGGCCTGGAGTGCCCGACGCGACATTGAGTCAGCACCGTGCTTATGATGATCGGCAACACTACCACTGTGCTATCCGTCCCGTAATGTTTACTATGTTTCTGATTCACTATAAGTTAACAGGAATTCATATATTCGGCTCGCAATGGCTACACATTTTCAGGATTTCACCTTCCTCAAGTCCTAGCGAAAGAAACATTTTGGTAAACGGTCCTACTATATTAATGTTAGCATGAACTCAATAACGTACTAAACGTACTACAGAATTGGAATTTGATGTAGAAATCCAGACCAGAATCGATTCCCTATCGTTTAGGACGTAGATCAGTGTAGTATTAAATATTCTACAGTAAATATGGGAATTGTAAAACAAAAAAAATTGGGAATTAGAATGACCTGTGTGCTGTGTATGACGGTACACCATGGTCTCTTCCTCTCATGATGTTGATTGTGGCGAGGTCCAGACCACTTTGCGGATTGCCCCGTATGGCAAATAGATAGTTTCTGAACAATAGTACAACTATGTTGCTCAAGACTATTTGTTAAGTTCGTAGATCTACCTCAGTGCTTCACTGACATGTCTATCTGGTGCCATAGAAGAAGAGAATAGAAGACCAAGTAGTATCGAGTCGGGACCACCTGTTCAAGATGGCGACTTTACGTGACATAAGCCAAAGTGTATTCATAAATTGCTACAAACCCATTTTCTCATCGTAAATGGCGTCGGCGTACTCAAAATTCATGGCAAGGTCAAGCGGTGGAGTATCATTTCGATGATAGTCATCAGTACGAGAGAAGAAGCTGAATAGATTCGCAATATTCGTTTTTATTCGTAGTCTAGCAGAAGAGAAGATGATTGCTCTCTCCATTCTTTAAAATTAAGGTACGGTATTAGAAACACTCCTGATATTACAATGTTCCAACTTTTATTCGCCGTCTATTCTTTTTTTTTCATGCAAGGTTATTATGCGAAATATAACCACAACGCCGCCGAGATACCAAACCCGGAACATCCTTTGGCTTCCTACCGATCACCATTGCGGGAGAGACTTCAAGAGCACAAGAGCAGAAAGAAAAAGAATAAGCAGCACATTGCCCATTTGTACTCCCCAGATCATTCCCGTTGATGGAGACTGATAATAGCACGTTAGGGTAGGAAAAAAAACTAGTTGAATGAAAGGCAACTCAGCGGCCTTGGTTGATGTGATGGATGGCAGGTGAGCCCACGGAGAGGGTAACCACCGGTTCGAAGCTTACTAGAGAGTTCCGAGTTTCACTCATCTCTCAACATTGTTGTGGTTATACTTCTGGCATTAGTACCGAAGCTTATGAAGCAAATATTTTTTTCTGTATTGAGAACAGTTCCGTTCCGATGACCACTGTTAAATATTTTTTGTTGCTCGCTTTTCATCTGTCAGTTAAAATTAGTAGCATTAGACAGGGGCTCATATAGGGGCAGCGGTTACGAGGCGCCCTGTGGTAAAAATGTTATCAATGGTTCGAACCGGAAAAACCAGGCCCTTCATCGGTCTGTGGTCAGCAAATTGGTACTGTAACGCTTTAGTCTAGCGCTTTTTTACAATGGATGTACTATTAGAGAACCAACCGTCTCGATAGTGAATGACCGAAACGGTAAGCAGCAGTAGCAAATGAATGTGATATTGTCGTTTCACAATTCGAATCGTAACCTGCAAACTTATAATACTGACCGTTGTTACATGGTTACCAATCATCTTCTGAACTGCTAACTTTGAAGACAAAGACCCTCATTATTTTGGAATAACGTTCGTTTTTCTACCGTTTTTAAGCAAGCAAATAGTCATAATGGGAGAATACAAATAGTATACACATAAAATACGTCATCCTCCAAATTTCATATAACCTAGGATTGCTCTTATTGTGCAGCTCAGAAGAATTCATGTTGCGTTCAACTATGTGAAGTATTGTTCAAACAACGCTCACCAGTGAAATAACCATTAGTCTTCGGGAGAATATCATATTTATTGGCCATGCTGAAGCCAATTATTCTTGGCAGAAATTCATTATAAGTTATATGAGCGAGTTCTGCTGCCAAGATTCGCCTTGCTTCCTGAAAATCTAACCATGGATTTACGCCATCTACAACGAATGAAATAGTGTAGCGGCATAATATGAAACCGCGGTTAAGGCAATTTGTCGGTGCAGTCACTTATTGCAATTCATTGGAATATGAAGCAATTGAAAAAAATTTTTCCGGCATGTGATTTCCCTCCTTCGCCTATTTGGCGTGGTCCTCTACGATTTAGCCCTCTTCTTGGTGCTTTTTGGAGTCAAACTACGATAGTTCCCAGGATCGACTTTCTATTAACCTCGGCATTGGAATATGAATGTGTCGTTTTCTTGTTCAGCAATCGCGAGGTTTTTAAACAGCATACATTTACTTCCATAGAAAAACACAATACAATACAACACTAGCTGACGTTTCGGCAGTATCGCCTTCTCCAGAGCCACTTTTTCGTGACTACCAATGAGGAAGTTTAGAACAACTGATTATATTATAGTCGCACATGGTTGATGACTCATGATGAGCACTGCCGAAACATCAGCTAGTATTGTATTGTATTGTGTTTTTCTATGGAAGTAAATGTATGCTGTTTAGAAACCTCACGATTCCTGAACAAGAAAACGACGCTTTCAAACTATGATGTTCAACAAGTAATGTGTCCATTAAAAAAGATCATGCATAGTAAAGAAGAATTTGATGTTAACGTTGTCATCCGAAGGACTACCTAGGAACAGATTACTGGCTGGAGTTTTCGGCATATCTGATAGAAATCTCGTTTACAATTTCGCATTGCTATCTTAGTACTCCTGCGAAATCAATATGCCTAGCTAGCAAGAACCTGTCAGTACCTACCACATTCGACGATCTCATCTACGACATGGTGTCCCTGTCAGTAAGAGGCAACCAAATTTCGGATGTTTGCCGTGGACATCGTTTGAATATGGATTACAACAACACTGTGGACAATGTTCTTTGTTAGAAGTCTTGTTGGGCCCCCTATCTACACTGTCTTCGGACAACAACACCTTCAACTGTGGACAATGTTCTTTGTTAGAAGTCTTGTTGGGCCCCCTATCTACACTGTCTTCGGGTGGCGACACCAAATTTGTGTCGTGGAACGCCATGATACCAAATACAAAAAAGGCAAAGTACACATGTTTCATCATTTTGCAGCAGGAAAGGAAATATTGGTTCGAAAAGGCAGTCGAGCCAAGTATTAAAAGGGAGATTGAGATTTTCGTACCAACTAAAGATGATGACGGTATATTTGTAGTATCATTGTCTTGTAATTGACCCGATCACCGAATTTTTGAAGCAAAGATTCTATTCAATCACACACAGCTGAACTACTGCTGCCGTCACAGATAGGGAAAAACTCGTGTATAACATCTCTGGGAAAACCATTTCTCGAGGAAGATGATGAAATCCATAACTCATTATGCTTATCAAACGAATTTAAAAATATACGTTCGTTTATTGATAGGCTAACACAAGGTTGCTACCAAACATTTGCTCAGCTAACGCCTAAACGTCTTCGTCTTCTCCAGAACCAATGACTGTAGACCATCGACTGGGATCACCGCCTTTGAGGAAAACGAAGAAGTCGGCACGTTAGTTGAATAAATGTCTGATAACAACCTCGGGTAAGCTTATAAATGAAGTAATGTCAGAAAACATCTAGCAAGGAACTATCGTAAGTATTCCACTCGTAACATCACGGCTCTGAGGAATTCGAATTCGCCGATACGTCGGCCATCGACCATCAAATAACCACAACTTGTACCAACCTCGCATCAGGTCGAAAAGATCATTTCATAAGGATATATAACTTTTTTCTCTAAGGTTATTTGATAATTTGCCGTACCCACACTGACTTCAGATAAATTCAAACCATTTAAGGAGCATACAAGATTCTAACGGCGATTTAATATAACTTTTACCCATCTATAGTTAACACTTAACGTCTTCGTGACAGAACTCTTCGATCAATAGATGGATCGGTTTCATATTTTGGCCGAGTTCTGTGCGTATTGCGCAACAGCGTTCACTCAGATTATTCCTTTTCACGAGTGGATGACGAAGTCACTTGTTTGGTACGAAATAGACAAATTTACACATAAAGACTGCCTATGAATGGCGTTCTTAACGATATCATCCTTTTTCGAAGTAATATAGTGAAGAAGCTTAGACAAGTCGACTGCAGAAATTGTAGGATTGCGGTTAAACTAGAAGACTTAGATCGTGGAAAAGCTATTGTCACTATGAGAAAAGTATTGAGATGGATAACTCTTCGATTTCACAAACCACTTTAAATATCTTCTCGGAACATTAAATGAACGTGGTAAACACCTTGAACTAGGAATGTATTGCTGTGAAGCTGATATCAGGTCAAAGGCTTCGAGCATTACTCACATATCACAAAGCAACCGATATGAGCACTGGCTCTGCTGTTCTTATCCTATAGATGCCTCGAAATCCAGTGAAAATCACATTGTTATATGTCTATATATTTCAAGTAACAGCATAGTGGATTCATCAGTATATTGAAGCGTGAATCGGTAGGGTGCAGGTGCATGATAACGGTGAAGTGGTCAACAGAATTAAAAAAGCGATCGTCTGGCACATAGAGGCGACATAAGCAAGCCTGGTATTGTAACAGCTTAAGTCAGCTATCTATGTAGTGAGTTGAACAAAGTCGGAGAGTTTTTCTTTCTAAGTCGCAGAACGACCTTTAGAAACGTTGCTAGGCACGAAAGTCCCTCACCCGACGGTGTGCATACACAAAATAGAAGTGAAAACTGTACTCGGGTAAGCCACACGTCCAATTATAAAGCGCTAACTTAAACCAACAGCTGCATTCTGGTTGTAAGGTGTGTTAAAAATGTGATTCACCAACTTGGTAAATTTTTTCGTCGTTCCAGTGACGATTTACTTGGGAAAGTTTGGTCGCAATACGGTTATGCTCTCTGTGGAATACTGAAATGAGTGATAAAGGTTAACTAGTGAGTACTGTATTAAAATAGTTTGGTCTGTCAAATGTTGCGTATAGGACTATGCAAACGCCTCATTAACAAAATTACTGCAATACCCCGAAAAATTTAACCTCTCGAGGACAACATTTGAATACCGGTGGTGCTTAAGCATTTTGTCAGCCACACACTGAGTATATACTAAAATGGATTGATGCGATCCAATGGGATCTTATTTTTTTTGCGCAGAAACTAACGAATATGCACGACGGTGATGCCAGGGTGTTGCGATACTCGCTCATCTCCGGAAGCGAAACATGGAGCGAACGGGGCCGAACGACAGGTTGATTGGTCTTCAGCAGAAGAGAGTAGGCTAAATCAAAATTTTTCATCTCATTCAACTCTGTTTGTTCAAACTATGAACATGTATAGAGTCCTTATGGCCAATGACTTTTGTGGAAGCAATTTTTTACTGAACACTTTTTTTATGAGAATGCTATGCTCGAGGCAAGAAGTAACAATGGACTTTTTCTTGAAACATCCTATTTCAATTTTTTAAGGACTAAAAAATTAACGAAAACT